TCATTTACGTATTTGAAAGTGTACAGTCTTGTACACACACAAGAAGTGTACAGTCTTGTCCAAACCAGGACTCAGCAGAGAATGAGATCAGGATACACTTCAGTTGAGCAGCCCTTGAAGTGTAACCCATTAAAAAAGATGCCTACAGAGTAAGCCACCGAATTTAGGTGGTAAAAGCTATTAGCAAGAGCTTTAATAGCTCTTTGCTATTCTGCTGCCTGTGGGATCACAGCAGTTAAAACAGTCTTGAAGATATGAACCAGAACCTGTGGGGAAGGGAGACATGCCTGATGTAAATCGATAAATCAGTCAGCCACCCAGATATGGAAACAAAACACAAATGAAAATGCTAACAATCCTAAAAATGTAAAAATGCTCATTATAACTTAACAAGAAATACTGATTCACATGTAAGTCTCTTATAAGCTCTTTAGTCTATATTAATAAGATCTTTAGCCTAATCTAGGCTCTAATCTAATGTAAGCTTTTTAGTGTATAGTATATCTGTCCGTCTGAGCCATGCAGTGTTCCCTGTTGCTTCCCATCACACCTTTTGCCACTTTGGGGGTACAACATTGATTCAAAACATGTGCATCCCAAGAACAGTGTGAGTTTGGGGAAAATAAATAATGACAGGATGTGGGTGGGAAGCTGACTTGCCTTTCCCAGTGCAATAATTATTTGTGAGAAAATACTCCCCACGTGCATTCCGGCAAATGTTGAAAACCAGATGCCCTAAGTATGAGATCCTCCCACATAAGCTGAGCAGTATTTTACTGTGGCTTAAACTGTCACTTTACAGGCTGCTCTGGCTTAAAGGTAGCCTGTGTTATGTTGTCTCAAGAAGAAACCAAGGAAAAATGCTGGTGAAGAAGCCAAAGCTTCTCCTTCCCAGCTGTGGAGGAAGAAGGCTGCTGACCTATGTCAAAGGCTGACTGCTCTCACACACGGCAGAACTCTGCGCAGTTTTTTGAGGAGCAGAGACCAGCGACAAGATTTTCTGCCTGTGGTCTGGCTGCCCCTTCTCAATGTAGGAGGGGAGGAGCGGTCCCATAGAGCCTCCCAGCTGGGTGTACCTCTACATTACCCCAACTAAAATTAAAGGAAACAGTCATAGCTGGTTGGGTCCTTTCTCAGGTTTACAGGGCAAGGAACAACCTCTGCCTCTCTCAGCAGCCTCCGGTGAAATCAGATGGCTGACTCATTCTGTAAGCCTAGCATCTATTACTGCTTGAGCAAAGATGGCAGGGTTCAGCCCTATAGAGTTTTTGTGCCATGCCAGGTGAAAAATCTGCCCTTCTGCTTCTGACGGCCATTGATTTTGCAGGGCACATTTTAATATTGAAATACGCATTAGGAGAAGGGCACAGCTGGAACAGTCTGCAAGAGGCAAGCACATAATGTGAAAGGGACACTAAACCATGGAACTAGATTGGGCAAGTCAGGGGACAGGCTGCTTTCAAGTTTATTTTTGAGCTTGAGTGAGGAGCCAAGATTATTTGAAGGGAATTTATAAAGTCAACAAAGTCAAACTCTGTGGTAGTGGTAGGTGGTGCAAAAGGTGCCAATGGCCACGATTGCAGCTTGGGATGCTCATACTGGATATTAGGATAAACATCTTCCCCAGGGAGGTAGTGCAGCACTAGAGCAGGTTACCCAAGAACTTGTGAAATCTCCATCCTTGGAGGTTTTAAAGATGACAAAGCCATGGCTGACCTGGTCTGGCATTGGTGATCATCCCGCTTTGAGCAGGAGGTGGGACTAGGCACCTCCAGATGTGCCTTCCCACCAACACTGCTGTGATTTGGCAGGTTGTGATGGACAAAGTTCGGTCATGAATGAGGAAGGCACCAATCTTCACCATGTCTACAGTCATGCTGCAGTCCTACTCCCTCTGTCAACCACATATCTGGTGCTGCTCCTGTGTTTAGCCTGGTGAGAACCAGAGTGCAGGGGAGGATTGATGGGGGAATGGTGGTTGCTGACACAGAGTCACATCTTGCTCTGATATAGAAGTGCTCACAGGCTGCATTGACTTTAATTATCTTCAGTGCCTATTAGATATCATACAAAACCAGATTGTGCTGGAGTTTTGGATGAAGGATTAAAACCAGTTGATTGATAATCATGAATTTTGAATAGCCTCTGGGACCTGCCCTCACAGGATTTAGGAGATCTCTGCTGTCACTGGAGCCACTGGCAGGATTTCACTAGCCAGGAAGGAAAGGGATGAACACAGCAAATTGGAGGGACCTCTTAACAAACAAGTTCGGTGCAGCCATTCCCTGGGTACATGCAATCCACTAGCGTGGAATAGAGAGTTTCTTACACAATTAGCTGGAGTGAAAGTAGCTATTGAAAGAGACTGCACAGATTATATCACTATATAAATTATTGAGCTGATGTCCTGGAGATGATAGAGGAAACCCTTCTTTCTTCTGACCGGAGGATGGCAGCTCTGAAAGTTTATACCTGCTTCCTGGAAGTTGTACCTCCTGTAGACTCTGCTTAGACAATTAATTTGCAATATTCATCAGCCAGAGGTTCAATGCATTATATAGACTAACAGGAGGATTTTATACTTATGTATTGACTGAGCCATGTTTTTTTCTGGTTGTGGGTGAAACTGTTGTTGAATACATGGCAAAAAACCCAGAGTATTTTGATGTTTATCTGGTTAGTATTTCTGAGCAGTAGTTATAACCGCTAGTGAATCACAGGTAAGACATAGCCCTGCATGGCTGTAGGTACATAAGAGACTCCATGCTTTTTCTTAGCATCTGCAAAGACACAGAGAATGCCCAGGATCTGAGTGGGAGAGCTGTGCTCATTTTTATGTGGCCCTCAAACATTTTTATAGCTGGAAGCCATTGTGCAGCATTCTCCCAGAGGCACAGCAAGACCCCTCAGGTTGTGGAGACTTGTCACAATGGCACAGACAGAAAAAGCATCATGTCTGGAAGCAAAGGAGGCAGGAAGAGGTATGGGCTGAGATCTACTGTGGCACTCAAAATTACGAGTGCCTGGAGGCTTTCAGAGCTAAAAACAATGCCCATCTCATTCCCTTTCCCACTGGCTGGAATAAAAGAGAGAAAGAGCTGCAGCTGTGTGCCCTCTTGCTGTTTATCTGCACAGTTGTGCTCACTGAACATGCATGTGCAGCAGATGGAAGGTTTTAGTGAGGGAAAGCAAACCCAAAGCAAGCAGTTTTCCATTTCATGTGGCTGTCATGAAAACTGTGGTTATTTGGTATTTTGGGTGGTAAGTAGGACGTACCATGGTGAAGCTGCTGTTTCTTGCGTCCCCTAGCCATCGCCCCTGGGGTCGGCGAGTCCCTGGGGTTGGGGCAGGGCAAGCCCTCCTGGGGGAAGGTCACTTGTTAAAAGAGAGATGCTGAACTGCAGTTGTTGTGCAGGACTGATAAAAATTAAGCCAAGCCCGTTGATCAGTGCACACTGTAATTTCAGGCACACCTTCCTCTGAAACTGGTTTCCTTGTTTTCTCCTGAGGACACATGTACTACAGCAAGAATTTCATTCAGCAAGAGCCAACGTTTTAGGCTTATGGAGACATCTGACAACAAAGGTAGACATCTCAAGGGATTTGTGGCAAACTCACCTACAAGCCTGTCCCTACGTACCCAAGTATCTTCGAACGCTGGCTGCCAGTGCTGAGGCATTTAGACTCTCAGCTGTAGAAGTGCAGAGAGACAGATTAGAAAGAGTTCTTTTGAAAATGGGGGAAAGTTGTTTTATACTGACTTGATGATTGCTAGCATTTTCTAATTCTGACCTTCAGGCCCCTGGATGGTCATATTTGTAAAAGGTCAAATGATAAAAAACATCTTCTATGTTCCACACACAGCCCTCTGCTTTGCCTAGTGAATATTTTAGTGACCCATTTACAGCAAGCAGCTTTTATTGAACAGAGTAGGCAAATGCAGAGGGAAACAGAAGCCCTGTTATCCTTGTGACAATTATACGTCTGTCTCTATTTGTGTAATCCACCCTCTCAGCCTGATAAACAAGAGCCTATGCATGGGTTTTGAAAGGAAAGTGACCATCACCTTCTGTGATCTGAGTATTTTCTTGCATACACCTCAGCTAGCTTGTAAAGCAGGTAAGTCTTAGCTTTTGCATGGTGATATTGTTCAGGACTCCAGTCTTACCTTGAATTTCATTCTGGCTTTTTAATCTCTCTCCTGGGGCTTAATCAACATAATGTTTCCCTTTCACCTGATTTTTATTTTGGGTTATTTTTTGAATCAGCTACTCGGCAACTAATTGCATTTCCATCTTTTTTCTTGGTGGTGCTTCCCTGTGTACCTTCTTACTGCATGCTCGATGAAGCAAACCCTCAGGAGTCCCTAGCTCACATTTGTTTATTCCAGGTAATTTACAGGAAAAAAGGTCAGCCCAAGCAAACATGACTGAATAAATTGAAAGCTGATGCTTTCTATCCATATTACTGGTGACTTTCCTCTAACCACCTAAGAGCCTTCTGTATAAATGCGCATCCATTTTGGCTGCTGTTACTTGTTGATCTCATTTTCTTGGGAAAACTTCTGAATCAACAGGAGGGTGTGCCGTCATTTTCCCTATGTTTTCAGCTATGGGTATGAGAGATTTCATTTTACAGTAGCTTTGCAAAATGGATGCACAGTAGATCACTTTCTTAAAAACCTTTCCGTTTACCTTTTCAAAGTAATTGCTATAAGTTCAGGACAATGTTTTATAACAGTCTAGCCTTGCTCACACACAGTTGACAGGATGGATCAACTGCACACAGCATGGGCGGCAAACAGGAGGAGCTGGAAGCCATTGTGCAGCGGGATAGGTATGACTTAGTCGCCATCACAGAAACATGTTGTTTTCAGTACTGGTAACAATTTCTCTCTTCAGCTAGCTCTCCATCCTTTCCCTGAGACCAGCCTTTGGTTTGGCTCCTGTGCAATGTCACTGACTCTGGATCTTTGCCCCACAGCTCTCCCGCTCACTGCTATGTCTACACCACTGGAGGATGCGATGGACACCTTGATCAAGATTTTCCATCACTACTCTGGCAAAGAAGGAGACAGATACAAGCTCAGTAAAGGAGAGCTCAAGGAGCTCTTCGCCAGCAAGCTCACTAACTTCCTGTCCATAAGATGCAGCTCCTGAACCTCTTGAGTTAGTGTTTCATGGGTGGGATAAACACCTATCCAAGTGTTGAGGAATAGCATCTCCTTCTGTAAGGCACATCCTGCCACAGCCTTTCAGATGACAGTTGTCTTTGTGGAGCCAGACAGAAGGAGATGAGATCAAATATCCCGTCTGAGAAGTGTGTTTTCAGAGAGTGGTCCAGCCCCGGTGCCCTGCCATGTGCCACCAGCGGCAGAGCCGGGTACCTGTGCTCTGCTTACTCCTCTGCGTTTTTGAGCAGGAGGGCAAGAGCAGCCTACAAGCAGTAGCAAAATCAATGCTAAATCAGACATTAATCAGTTTTTAGTTTGCTTTTTCATTTTTAATAATAAGGCATAGATAAGTCCTTCAAAGAATTAAATTCAGCAACCAGTTCTCATGAGACAAGAAAGTAGCTTGTGCACAATGGCCACACACACACAGCTGCTTATGTGTCCTGCAGAGAGATGCTAAGAAAATCCTTTCAGCAATAAGCTCCTGGTCTGAATATCTCTTTGCACATTTGTTGTGTTCTGCATTACACAGTATGGATGCTTTTTATGGAATAATGACCAGATTCATAGCTGGTTTTCTGTATCCTTTTAATTGTAAAGATTGTTGTGGACCCTGTCACCACCATCAGGATTTTTTTTTACATTGTATCCATTTCCTTGAATTGGATTTTCTTTTAATCTTGGCTATTGATTCATTATTACAAGATTCACTGTTCTTACTCCCACTGAATAGGACATGTTGTTTGCTAAGTAGAGGTCTTCTGAATGTGATGAATGGATGTCTAATACAGCCACTTATGAACAGCCTGTTGAAAATCTAAGTACTGTTTGTTAAAGGATGATACAGAGAAATGCATATCATAGATCCATCTTGTCAAAATAAATCAGTACTCAGCAGCTCCTAAAATCTGTTTGATTCATTTCAGTGCCTGTTTAGTACCTGTATTCCTTCTAAGAGCAGCATTGTCTTCAGTTTCTGTTGCTGTGCACTTTTGGGACTCCAGACCTATGTTTTTAATGCTGTGGTTAGTGGTATATTACTATTCAGGTGCATATTTCATGCAGCCTTTTGTTTAATAGCCCTGGGGCTTGTGACAGAGCAGTGGGTTGCACCGCCAGGTGTGTCAGAATTACGCATTCAAGATCTGCACAGCTAAGTCACTTCTCTTTCTCTTTAGGGACAAAAGGACCCCCTTCTGGTTGATAAGATTATGGAAGATCTGGACTCCAATAAAGACAATGAAGTGGATTTTAATGAATTTGTCATTCTGGTTGCTGCTTTGATTGTGGCATGTAATGATTTCTTCGAAAAACAGCTAAAGAAAGAGGGATTTTAAAAATGCTCAGTACAATCAATCTCCTGGCCACAAATGCAAGCAAAGCACACCTAGTTAGGTAGCCCTCATCAGCATCTAGTGAATGCAAACCATCATCCCTACAAATGTTACTGCTGTAAGACACTTACGGACCTGATCAGCAGCTGGTGTAAGCTGGACCAAAGCCAGTTTATACTACTTGAGATCTGGCTTCTAATACTTTCAGTCTTTGTGCTGCATGCATCCGTAACATGCATTCATCAGTTGCCCAGGTCAAGGGCTTGGGTTGACAGATCATTTGGCAGGAGTTGAGACTTCTATTTCTTAAATGTCAGTGGGTAGTAAAAGGCACAGGAATGTTACTTACATACTTTCTGAATTGGAAAATTTGGAATGAGACATAAAACTTGCAATTTAATTTTCAGTCATTCTGTAACAACCATATTTTTTGCAGCTCAAAAGGAGCAGCTTGTTTTTTGCTCAGCTCTGCTTATTCTAAAGCCCTTTTTAGATGCTGCTGCATACCTCCCTACATTCTCATATTTCAGATGTGGTCACAGCTGTCACCTGGGCAGACGGTACCGCTTGCCATTGTTACAGGTTCATTTCCCCCACCTCCCCAGCTTCAATTTTGTTGTGTTGGCATTACTGCATCCCAGTAGTCCACCTCTTCATTCGGCATAAATGAATTTATTCATATGATAAATTATTCAAATACATAGAAGATTTAGTCAGCAAACTGTTCTGAGGGCTGATGGAAGGACTGGGTCTTCAGGGGAAATGTAAATGCCTTCTTCTTTCACTATTCTGGCACCCCTAAGAGGAGGGCTTTTAGAGGACCGCTTGTGGGGGATTTAATGACGGGATCCCAGGGTACAGCTTTGTAATGTGAGTTATCTTATGGAACAATGATTTCATCTCACGCTGATCCAACCCACTGCATGGAAGCGGAGCAAAAGGTGCAGTGGGACCCTGTGGCCAGGCGTGGAGAGAGTAGGACAATCCCTTTCAGTGTTAGTCTTCCTTGGGTTGAATTAAGAGTACTTCTACACTCCTGTTTGAATTAAGCATACTTCCAAAGCCCTGCAAATCCTCAGCAGCAGGGTGTCATGGCTTTTTTCTTGCTCGGAGAGCTCTCTTTGTTCCTTGTTATTTTGTTGGTAACTTCAAACTATAATAAAAGGCATCTGAATTAAATGAAGATATTCTGCTTGTGTAAGAGATTAATAAAAAAAAAACCCCCAATGAAGACGTGCCCTGCTAGGCAACATTTGAAGAATGCATTTCACTTGTCTCTCCTCCCCAGATCCCTGGACATAATTCAGTAAAGACTATACTATTTTGTATAAAATCATATATCATTAAGAATATGTAATTTATTATAAGAAGGGGATTCTGTAGGGTCTAATAAATATAACAAGGGGCAGACATCATCCTAAGAAGGGGGCTACCACCAAATGATGTTATCCTGGAAAAAAGGAGACTTTGCTCCAGTAGCAGAGCTACAAGGTGCTGCCTCTTTAACTCTTCAGTGACATAAGTTATATAGGATTCACTGAAGATCTTCTAGGGGAACATGTCAAAAAGTATTAAAGTAAAACTGACAACAACTGCACAACTTTTTGCCCCCTGCACTGTCATGCACCTCAATTTCATTGCAGTTGTTGGACCAGGATGGTAGGAGTATCAGCGAAAAAGTAAGACTGCTTTTCTGGTTCCCCACAGGTCCTGCAGACTGCTGCTTGTCTCCAAGCCTTTCCCCTTCCTCCAAGGGGAAGGGAGAGGAGAGCAGCTTAAAGCTTCAACCCCAGGCTAAAAGGAATAAGATTGTCCCAGTAAGGACCGGTTTCTTCATTATGACTTTTGAGCAAAAGGCTTTTTGGAAACAAGCTCCAGAAAGTTCATAAACCCTCTGCTCATCCCTGATGAGCCCCTGGACACGTAGCAGCCCATGTGCCGAGCAGAATTATGCTAAGTCACAGCTGGTGGCAGCAGCGTGCCCCCGGGTCAGGCAGGGAGAGCTGCTGCCGTGATGGAGAGGGTCAGTGGAGCCATCTGAATGATGACTGAATTTACTAGGGATTGAGTGCAGCCTAATTCCTCTGCGGAAGGGGCTTGCTTGCACATGAGCTATGGGTGAATCAGAGGAGAATGACTCAAATGATCTTTATTCCAACAGAAGTTTTATAAAACCTCATAAATCACCCTTTTTGTCTTGGCTGGTTAGATTTTTCTTGTTGCTGTTTTAACTGCAAGGAAAACTGTTAAACTCCATCAGCTTTAAAGAAGTAACTTTTTTGCACAAAGACTGAAGACCAAGCAGAAAAGGAAGAAAATGCTACAAAGCACATTCAGATGCTGAAAAACACAAAGCCTTGGCACAATTTGGGGTCCTTGGGAAAGGCACTTGCCATCCTAATCTTGGGCTAACCATGGGCTGACCCACTGCACCAGTGGGTCATTCCTCTGGCACTCCTCTCCCACAGGAGCCAACTAGGAAGATACCTGATGATCACCTGGAAGTTTTGAATTGCCTCTGAACGAGAAAAAGCTGTGAGCAATCCTCTTCTGTAAGCAATCCTCAGGAAGGAGAACTGCATTGAAGCCACTCACGCTGGCTCTGCAAGATGGTGCTTGCATAGCCAGCCTTGCTACAGCTGCTTTGTCCTGCAGATGCAAACATTTTGTTTTTAGCTTCTCTCAGAAGGGAAAAATGTCTCCTTCAAACATGAAGGTAGTATTTTTTCTCATTGTTTACTGACATT